GTTTGAAGGGTTCTGGGTTTAGGGTTTAGGGGTTTAGGGTTGAGGGTTTAGGGTTCAGGGTTTGAAGGGTTCGGGGTTTAGGGTTCAGGGTTTGAAGGGTTCGGGGTTTAGGGTTTAGGGGTTTAGGGTTGAGGGTTTGCAGGGTTCGGGGTTTGGGGTTTAGGGTTCAGGGTTTGAGCTCTAGCTTGTAGAGTTTTTGTTTAGAGTCGAACGTTTGGGGGTTAGCGTTCAAGTAAGATCCTAGTCCAATTCTTAGCCCTGGGCCCCAAGACCCTAAACCCTAAACCCTAAAACCTAAACCCTAAGCCCCTAAACCCTAAACCCTAAATCCTAGACCTAGACCGTAAGCCCTAAACTACTTAGTCTTCCTTCTATTGGCCTTGGGGTTTAGGGTTTGAGGAGTCCTGGACCCATTATGTGATCTGCCCTCAGATTCTTTCGCACTCAAACCGGGTGTCTGTTTAGCTATGTTGATGGGGTACGAGAAGTGGGGGTGATTGACTTGGAGATTGCTGAAGCAGCCAGCTTAGGGATCCAGTCTAAGTATGAGTCTTGGCCAATTTTAGGGCCTTAAGTCAGGGAGCTCAACCCTAAACCCTCAACCCTAAGCCCTCAACCCTAAGCCCTAGACCCTAAACCCTAGACCCTAAACCCTAAACCCTAGACCCTAAACCCCAAACCCTAAGCCCTAAACCTTGAACCCCTAAACCCTATCCTGGAAGACATACCTGAGCCCGGAACCCTTCATCCCCCAAACCCCGAATCCTGGAGGGTGTCGTCAGCTTCTGGTAGACCATGGCTTTCGGTTTAGGGTTTAGGGTTTGGGGTTTAGGGTTCAGGGTTTGGGGTTTAGGACGTAATGTGCAGGGGAGCCCTGAGCTATGGAAGAGCCTTCTAAACAGAATTGTGCATAAGATGGGGCTCGTTATTGAGATTCAAGACTCTTAGCTCCTGCATCACCAATTGCAAAGAAACGCTGGTACCAAAGCCATCGCAGCACCAGCTCAATCCAGCAATCATTGACAAGGTCCATCATGGTCCCATTTTGTATCGTGTTGTAGGCTCTGTTGGCACGGCGCTTTTTCGGTAGCGATGTTGAGTCTTGCAGGTTTTTGGAGAACTCAGGAGCCAGTGCAATGACAAGGGCTCGGGAGTTTGGGGGTAAACTCAGAAAGGGCAAAACAGGGCAGTACTCGTGGCTCAACGACGTGTAAGGACCTTCCAGCCATCTTCTTTTTGGCTGAATCCTCAGCTCTAAACCCTGTATCCCAAACGGTGGTGCTTCCGCCTCTATCGGTAGGATCTGTCTGCTGGGCTTTGGAGTACTATACTTTAATACTTTTTTGGGGGACCTGTTCCTTAAAGGAACCATTATGAAATAAAAGTCTATACTTTTTTCTCCCGGGTTACTTCAAAGCCCAGTCTGTTTATGTGAAAGCCTATGCCCTTCTGATTGTTTGCTGTCTTGACGGCTGCGTTGCATTTGTCTGCGAAGATGCTTTTCGAAGGGTGCTGTAGGGCCATTGTTTTATGAGGGTATTAGAGGTGTGGGCGGTTCTTAAAGCAGGCGCCTCAACCCCAAAACCCTTCCCTCATGGATCCGATATGAACCCTTACATATATCTACAGAAGTCCATGTCATACCCTGAGGACACTCAGATTGGAACTGGTATCAGCGAGTTCCTGAAGAGAGGAGTCACCGGTCTCGGATTTTTGGGCTCCAGGCTTTGGGGTTTAGGGAGGTTTAGGGAGGTTCAGGGTTTAGGGTTCAGGGGTTGAGGGGTTTAGGGTTTAGCGTTTAGGGAGGTTTAGGTGTTTAGTGTTTAGGGGTTTGGGTTTAGGGGTTTAGGGGTTTAGGGAGCTTCCTGCTCCAAGCAAGGCTGTTGGATTTCGGGTGGTCGGCGGTGGCACTGGCTGCTGCTCTTAGGGTTTAGGGTTTAGGGTTTAGGGTGTAGGGTTTAGGGTTTAACCTCATGCATGTAAGTAAAACTTGTATACACATGTCACATATTGATACTTGTGCTGCCGCATCTGTAGGAGTAAGTATAGACTGTAAACCGAACACAAACCTATAAGTTCGTTAGACACACATAAATAAACATACACCTAAACTTGTGCATATACGTAAATGCCTGCGGGCATTCATGCACGGCCCTAACCTTAAACCCAATGCTGCACGGCCAGGAGGCATTTGCAGATTGTCCTTCACCCGAGTGAGTGTGAATAAGCGAACCCCGAAGCGAATGAGTGAACGGAAAAACAACTAATATAGGGCCTTAATAATTAGAAGAGGGTTTTGGGGGTTCCTTGTTGTCATTATTGTATAGTATGCCTCAATATCAGATGCATCAAGACTTGCACCAACATACATAAACACAGAAGTATGCATCGGTACATACACATACAGGCATGCACACGCGTACACCTGCACATACAGCTACACATACACTTTCACATACACGTACACGTGCCCAGACACCTACATACATGCATTACAGACACACATACACATATATACGCACACATGCACACATACACACGTACACCATGCATGAATACATCAGCAGATTCATAAATCCATATTTCCATCCATACATACATGCGTCCACACATACCCGTCGCCATACACACATGTACACAACGCAAGTAGTGGTGGTGGACATCCTGTGCATGGCTTCGGTACGTGTGTATGCATGACTGTATGTACTCTTGCAGCACACATGCGTCTGCAAATGTGGGTATGTGTGCTTTTATGTACGTGTTGATGCATGCATGTATGTATGTCCAGACATGAGCCCATGCGCAGTTCGTCGCTTGCTGCGGCAGCACAGGTCGCACAAGCAGCACAGAAGCCGGTGAAAGAGCGGCCAGAGGTCGGACTTTTGCAGGGCTTTGGTCTGGGTGCATGGGCCAGATGAGCAGTTGCAGATGGGCAGTTCTCTAAATTAGGGTCCCTTTGTGGGTCCCCAATATGGGAGTTTCCGAAAATAAGGGGTACCTTATTTTGGGGTCCTTATAATAAGGATCCTACTATTTAGGGTGCTAAATTAGGGTCCCTTTTTGGGTCCCCAATATAGGACGGGGCACCCTTATAAATAGGGGCCCTGAAAAGCAACCCTAATTTAGAGAACTACCCAGATTGCCGGCCTATTCAGGGTTGATGCTCTGTTCAGGAAATATTGAAATGGTTGAAGAGCACTGGCTGGTGCTTCAGCCTGACTGGCGAGTGGCAGGGGCGGTTGAGATGGGTTTGGGGGCATGGATTCGCTACGAGCGGTTTCAGCCACACTGACCTATGTTGACAGGCGAACGACGCAAGGATTCAATCCGGCCACGAATTTCGAAGACAACTACATAGATAAATCCGAACAACTGCGGATATAACACACCAGAAAGCAGAATTGTGCTGAGCACACAAAGTTGGAAGCATAGGTCACAAGTTTGACGACGAGTTCAATGCTCTAGGTAGCTACGTGCAGAGCAGGGTTTCGAGACATCGCAGTCCAAAAAATGGAAGAAGTTGGTGCGCGAAGTCTCGAAATCTCGACATGGGGGACGGGAGAAGGTTGCTTTCTCAGTTTCAACCATGCAAGGTTGAAGAAGGAAGCCTAAAAGCTCAATTTGTGCCTGCAGCAGTGAGTATGATGGGATGGTACAGAAGTTAGTGATGTCGGGTTTAGAGTGGGCTCGGGGCTTCTGATTGGGAAGCAAGGTTTTGGTCGCAAAAAACTTCTTCGGGTCACACAGGAAGAACAGAAGAACATCCGATGAAAGCAAGAATCAACACGAACGGAAAATAGACACTAGACTGATCAGGCAACCCAAGAACGTGGGATTTCTGCAGCGACCGGCCGTCGGAATGAGGATATCGTTGGCTTTCAACATCCTCAGAAAGAAAGACCGACATCGCAGTATGACAGCAGAGTGCCAGCTGAACCCATGTGACGATCTGTAATTATCATGGAACGACCAAATAGGCAATCGGAGGAAACTTTGCAAACTACTACTGGCAGCAGTCTGGGACAAAGGGCACTTGCCCGTGACCATGCTTGCTTTGTAAGCGCCTGCACTCAAAGAATTGGGCAAACCCTTAAAGCCTAAACCCCCCGGCCCTAATCTCTAAGCTGAGCCCTTTTCTAAGCCCTTCTGCCAGATGTTGCCATCCAAAGACGGTGGCTTCATTGCCACGATCCAGCAGGGTTTCCAAGGCCCCGCTTGCCTTCGGGCATATGGTTCAGGGCTTCGGCTTTTAGGGTTGAGGGTTTAGTTTTTTTTGCTATGGCCGTGAGCGCTGTGCGAATGCGCTCCTTGGCACCAGCTCGAAAGAAGAACTCTGCACCGTGCAGCTATCTTCATATACCCTGAATGCTTAAGGTTAGCCGGGGCGGTGTGGTCAGGCAAGCAATCCTTGAAGTAGCTGTAGGAGCAGGTTTCCAACCAGTACGGGTGTGGTTTTCCTCTTCTACGGCCTTGTAGTACAATTCTATCCTTATAAGCTGAACCGAA